GCGACGGCTCTCTCGACAGCAGCGGCTCTCTCGACGCCCACCATCTTAAAGATGTCAAAGGAGCTATTGAGAGACATCTCCTTGTAGGAGTCGAAGGGAGGACAATATTTTCTTACCATATTGTGCATGATCTTCTCGGCAATGAGGAGCTCGTTGAGCTTATGGAATTTCAGAGCAATAGTCGCTTCGTCAAGTCCCAAACATTCTTCTTTCCCTTTTTGGTAGCTTACTTGCTTTTCTTTTTCTTGTTGCATCTTTTTTTCTTCTTAGGGACTTCAAGTAATACATACTGAATAAATATGTGCGGGCTAATATAATTCATTAGAGATCAATCTTTTGTGCGAATATCTTCTTTGATCTTTATGAATAAGTTGCCGAATAAACATGTTTGGTCTGGTTCGAGTCGGACCATTAGAGATCAATCTTTTACTCAACTTATTTTCCCTCATCAAAGAGTTAATCTTGGTTTCATACCCATTGTCAAAACGTCATTGAATCTGTGCGCGTACCTTCCTTTTCCATATGCTGAAAATCGCCCAAACCATCAAATATTTCAACCTCAAAACCTACTTTTGAGTTGATTCCATATTCAATCAATCTTTGTCTTCCTTCTGATTCAAAATCGAGTAAAAACATTTACATATTTAACCTTCTTGAAATGATAAGAATTTCAACTAACTGACACCTGGCTGGCTGGCTGGCTCTGATACTAGTTGTATAGATTTAGGAACTAAAAACTTTTTTGAATCAAACCAAATGTTGAAGAACCTGAAACACCCAAGTGAAATCTCCATAGATCAGGTGTGACACATTTTGCCGTTTCTAAAAGAAAAAAAAAAAAACAGCACGCAGTTTAAGTTTCTGACTCAGAAACGTTGATAAGTCATACGATTTACTAAAACACTTTTAAGCTTTAAAAACAAAAACAAAAACAAAAACAAAAAAAGCCAAAAGGCAACAAAAACACTTCACTGCTTCTTCGATACTTCCCAAGCCACCACCATGGCCGCCGCTTCAATCTTCGCCACCGTCACAACAGATCTAACACATCTGCTTAATCCCTCTTCACTGATCATCGGAAAACCATCTCCGTCACACTCCGTCTCCGTCAAATCCTCAATTTCATTTTCCCGCAAAACCCTAACTCCAATCCGATACTCTTCTTCTTCCGCCGCCGCCGCCGATAACTCACCCTCCGTCACCGTTTCTTCCCCCTCATCGGAAGGAATCGCGGATCGATCCAAAACCTCCTTGAAATCCCGTCTCCGTGGAGGCGAAACTCTCTACGGCTTATTTCTCCTCTCTTTCTCCCCGACTCTAGCCGAGATCGCTGCTCACTCCGGGTACGATTACGTCGTCGTCGACATGGAACACGGTCCCGGTGGCATACCGGAAGCTCTAGATTGCATCCGAGCTCTTAACGCCGCCGATACACCCGCCATTCTCCGATTACCGGAAAACTGCCCTACGTGGGCTAAAAAAGCACTAGATCTAGGTCCACAAGGAATCATGTTCCCAATGATCGAATCTCGCAAAGACGCGACCAAAGCGGTTTCGTATTGCCGGTTTCCTCCCGACGGGATCCGTGGATCGGCGCACACGGTGGTGCGCGCGTCCAAGTACGGGATCGAGGAAGGGTATTTAGGTAATTACGCAGACGAGATTCTGATAATGTGCCAGGTGGAATCATCCGAAGGAGTGAAGAAAGCTGATGAGATCGCAGCCGTTGAGGGTGTTGACTGCGTGCAAATGGGACCGTTGGATCTTAGCGCGAGCTTGGGATACTTGTGGGACCCAGGACACAAGAAAGTGAGAGAGATGATGAGGAAAGCTGAGAAATCTGTGCTGACGTCAGATCCGGCGAAAGGTGGGGCCTACTTGTCGGGATTCGCGATGCCGCACGACGGACCCGGCGAGATCCGTGGACGTGGTTACCATATGGTCGCCGGAGCCGTCGATGTTGGGTTGTTTAGGAACGCAGCAATGGAAGACGTGAGGAGATTCAAGATGGGTTTGGTTGATGAATCGGACGGTGAGGATTCGTTGGAACATGAAAAGGACGTTGACGATGAAAAGTACTGGAGCGAATAAGCAAAGAATTCCGTACCATTTCGTTCAAAACAAATGTTCATGTTCGTTAATGATTATTTCCCTTTCCATGTTCGTTAATGATTATTTTCTCTTTTGGAACAAATGTATTAGTTGGTTAATGTTGCTTTTTTAAAATTTTCTTAGAATATTTCAAGGAATCTTAGTAGTTTTTCATACAAAATATACTTTACAATATTTCGATGATTGTGTGTCCATAGAAATGTGGGTATTTTCACAAATTTAATACGTCTATAGAGAGCACAACTGGAGGAAATATACGAGTTTCGACCTGGAACCTTGTGGATTATCAGACTTCAGTTTGTTTACAACTTTATAATTGGTTTCAAACAACACATCAATTTTTGTATGAAAAGCTACTAAAATTTTTACTTTGTTTTTGCAATTTTCTCTTTGTTGTTTGAACTTCTTCCATTCATTTCTCATAAACATTTACAATCATGGCACAATCTTTTTTAACTTTTCATGATCAAAACCAAAGCAACATGATCAACGGTCAGCAGCTCACCATATACTGCAGTTATCCAACAAAGCTGAGACCTTTGACTCTGTTATTTGAATATGGAACTAAGCTGTGATTGAATCAATAGCCATAGGTTCGTTGTCTGTCTCCATTGTTGAGGCTCTTGGTGGTGATGGTGGTTGCACATCTATTTCAGGGTATGATGCCTTGAACCGAGCTCGAAGACCTTCATTAATTAACCGGACACCATTTAGCTGGTTCCCAAGTGACAGCCATCTATAGATCCAACAACAAAAATCAGCAAACAAATCTTACTTACTAATCATACGACAATGAGAAAGTGTTTAAGACAAAACTTTACCCAGCATGAGCATTGTGCATACGGGCAAATAACTCGAGCTTTCTTGCTCTTGGCATGATCCTCTCTAACATTGCATACATCTGGTAAGGCAAAAAAAAAGTTGTTTATTCATTTTCAGCACAAGTGAAACGATTTGGCAAATGTGGATCAATATGGACAAACCTCGTCTGGCTTCCGACTTGTCTCTCTAACCTCTGCGACAATCACATCTGTGTCGATGTTTCTGTTCACTTCTGGGTTTCCTTTTATTCCAACCAGACAATGCTCTTTGCTATGGTTGAGCCAGTGACCTGTTCTACCTGTTCGAATTATACGTTGAAGTTGATTCGTCTTTACCCATATGATCTCTTCCACTCGCTTGTATCCCCAAAGCTCCAAGCTTTACAAAAATCAAAACATTAAAAAGCCTTCATTTAAATGGAAATCATATGAGACCCAATATTTGTTGAGATTTTCTGTAAGTACCATTCACGGCCTAGCTCCATTGCACGCCCAGTGACCCAGAGGAAAATCAAACCGTCAGTCTGCAACGAGGGGACATTGAGGGTGCGCATCTCGTCATCAGCCATCGTTCCATATGGAAGTTCCATGTGAATGTCCCATGGTGGATCCGCCATAACAACTCCAAAAGTTCCTAAAATGTCCATTCTAAAAGAACGAATGTCACAATTAATCCATTGCGCCTCACCAAGTTCAGCTTCGGAACAGTAATCAGCTCGTAGAGGCTTCAACGCCTTGTCTGGACCAGCCATCATAGCATCAGCCATGTCAAGCTCATAATGCACGTATTTGCAAGTCTGTCCAAATCCAAAATAACCGTTGCTCAATTACCATTAATCAAGTCAAAATGAACCAAAAAGCTATCAGATAAGATTTTAAAGAGTTACCTTCATGTGACGACAAGTATCGAGAAAGGAACAATCTCCTAGGCTGACGTCAGTATGTGAAGCGATTAGTCGACGAAAATGCCTCTGAAAGCATATACAAGTCATAAAAGGCCTAAGTATATTTTGTTGAAGCATCATGGACACCAAACCGGGAGATCAAATATAAAACTTAAGACAGAAAAAGAAAGACAAGGTGACTTGCAAACCAATCATAATTTGTTTGCTACGGAATAAAAACATAATGAATTTCTGATCAAATAAGATGTAAACTGTAAACTCAAGATGGTTCAAACCTTGTTGCAGGCTACGTGGGAACCCGACTGAAGACGGCAATCTTCCTTGGTTAAATATCTACAGTAATACTTGACCTGTGATCCTCCTTTGCTTTTAAACTGTCAAGAGCATATAAATATACCAGTCAACCACAAGAACCAAGCTTTTGTTTATAGATGAAATGAAAACTAGCAGAGCATAACACCTAGAAGAGTTGAGGCTAGAAATAGTGGCAGGGGTGTAGATCACAAGATACCAAGAGCAAAAGTTATAAGAAACACACAAGTTTTGTGCATAGAGGTCTTTGCTCTCGCTACTAAAGATTGAAACTAGAAAGTAGAAACCACAGGTCAAAAACTTTCACACAAACTGAGAAACAAAACACACAAGTGTTGTATGGAGGGACAACCTAGATGTGTTAAAGCTAGAAACTGTAGATGTTACCGAAGCTGAACAGGTCAAAAACATTAAGCATCTATATCTCATAAGGTGCTTATTTTGCATAGAAAGCTCCTTGGTTTCAAAACATCTGGCCACATTGGACAGAAGATATACACATCTCAGATATATAGCTCTTTGATTTTCACCACACTGTAGTTCCAACACAACGCTCAAAATTCCTATTCTTGTGAACTAACCATACATACAAAACTCTTTGATCGAACGAAAGTGATGAAACTAGAGGGCCTGAAACTAATACTGGAAA